TTATATTTTTAAAAATTTTAAATTTTTTATTTAAAATAAATATATTTATATTTTTAAATTATTTTGATATATTAATATTAAAAATAATTTTTTAAATATAAAAAAATTGTTTTAATATATTTATAAATAAAAAATATTTTAAACTATTATCACCATAGTACTTTCAAACAATCCCTTGCCATTTTACGTGGCTTAGGGTCTTAATTTGTTCCCTCGTCCGATCAAATTAATGTTACTTGCACTTTGTACTTGAATCTTTTTATTTTTATTTAATAATTATTTTGTGATTTTGCAAAATTAATTTTTGTGAACAGTGAAATAATTTTTAAAATTATAAATATTTAAAATAAAATAAAATAAAAAATTTAAAAATACTGAACAAAAATACGGGCTATTATGGTTGTAATAATTACTTATAATATTATTTTTCTTTATATTTTGTTAATCATTTATTTTTTTATTTTTTTATTTAATAATGTTACATTAAATAATATTTAATTTTATCTATTCAATCTAGTCAAAATTTTGAGGAAACAAATATTTAATCTCTTAAAAAATATAATATTTTTTTATAATCAATATATTTGTTGTTATTTATTAACATATTTTTAAAATTTATTTTATTAAATATATATATATATTAAAATAAAAAATTTAAAAATTTAAAAATACTGAACAAAAATACGGGCTATTATGGTTGTAATAATTACTTATAATATTATTTTTCTTTATATTTTGTTAATCATTTATTTTTTTATTTTTTTATTTAATAATGTTACATTAAATAATATTTAATTTTATCTATTCAATCTAGTCAAAATTTTGAGGAAACAAATATTTAATCTCTTAAAAAATATAATATTTTTTTATAATCAATATATTTGTTGTTATTTATTAACATATTTTTAAAATTTATTTTATTAAATATATATATATATATATATATAATTTTTCCTTTCGAGTTTACAACAAAAAAAAAAAAACAACGCCAATACTTTTATTATCGAGAGAAAAAACACTATATATCACAGCTAAGCGCAAGAAATAGTTAATACTATTAAAACATAATTGATTCGAATTAACCAGTGCCACGTAGTCTGATGACAGGAACGATAGTGATTTTGACGTGGGAAAGCATTCTAGCTGTCAAAGCCACCGCAGGACGAATTTTAAAATAAGAGGTTTAGGGATACTTGGAATTAAGATAGAAATTATATTTTAATATATTTTTATTTAAAAATGTATTTAGTTAAAAAAATATTTAGTAAATTTTTTATATAATTTAAAAATATTAATCATGAGAAGCTAATATAAAGGAATATTACTCCCGAAGCGTGATTCAGCGGCGTTATCAAACGAACTCTTAATCATGGAGGAAAATTCGGATTACATAAAGGAACTAGGTAGGTAAAACAACACTAATTATAAATTTAATCAACAATATCATGAAAGCTCACTGATGGATTAGGTTAACGCACTCCCGAAGCGAACAATCTTTTACATGAAGATGAAGAATTTGGAGCCATTGATTGAAAAAAAACACCGAATTAAATAAAATGGCAGAGAAAAAATAAACAGCTCGTGGCAATAATCTGACATGATTTTTTGTAATACACAGGGATGCAAAACCCAGAAATCATTCCCAGCTGGTAAAGTACGAGAGAGATAAGTATAACCAACTTAATTACGTAAAATCTCTTAACTAATAAAAACAGCCTGATTATCGATGTATCACTACATAGCAGGAAAGGGCAACTTATTAGCATACAAGGAATCGAGGATTGAAGAAAGTACACCTGCAACTGCTACGTACATTTTCACAAACCCTGCATACTGTGCTTTAACTGAATTCTCGCTCGTCAATTTTCTTCTGGCTGCTAAATTCAGCACTCTCTCCTTTTGGGGGATCTGCTTTCTTGGTTTCATTACGAGGTTCAACTTGAGCAGGCCCTTCTGGAGGATCTGCTTTCTTGGTTTCATTTCGAGGTTCAGCTTGAGCAGGCCCTTCTGGAGGATCTGCTATCCTGGTTTCGTTACGAGGTTCAGCTTGAGCAGGCCCTTCTCGAGGATCTGCTATCTTGGTTTCATTATGAGGTTCAGCTTGAGCAGGCCCTTCTCGAGGATCTGCTATCTTGGTTTCATTACGAGGTTCAACTTGAGCAGGCAATATATTGGCCCCGGTGTTACAGGAACTTTCAGGCAGGTGCTCTCCGGATTTTATACCAGCTTCCAACTCGTTGTATCGGAGAATGACTTGTTGGAGTTCATCATGGAGATTCAGGGCCTCAAAAAGCATTGCCTCGTCATCAGTGGTGCTTTCTATGATCCTCTGAATGACAGGCTGTGACTGCTTGCACTTGTCCACCAAGCTTACTGTAAGATCATCCTGCTGCCACACAGGAACTATTAATGAAAGCAGGCAATTTTTTGTTTATCACTACCACTAGAGCTTGTATCAACATCATTTTTTTGTGCAACGCAATAGCATTAGAAAATAGGAAAAAAACTGAAAGATGGGATCTAATCTTTTTATCCTGTGCCATATCAAAAGGATTGTAAAGTGAACTTAAAGCTGGTATCTACTACCAAAAAAAATTAAAATGAATGTACAGAGGCGAACGTGGATTAGCTGTTTGACGAGAGTGGTAATTTCTTACTGAATAGCACCCAAAAAAAGAAGAAGGGATTACCTTAATGGGTTTAGGCTCAGTTTCAGCATTCAAAATACTAGAAAGAAGTTCCAGACTGTTCCGAGTTGTTACAAGTGTTTCATTCTTTTCCTCAATTGATACCCCCCCAGAGTTATATGAAAGAGTACCATGATCTGCACCATGCAATCCCGTGTCAGGAATAGGATAGCTTTCAGGAGGAGACAATGGTTCCTGGTGAACATATGACTCCAACGAATATTGCATGGGGAATGAACTTCCATCTTCAACTGGTGGTGTAGGCAGACTTCTTTCTTTCAAGCTCTGCCACAACCAGAAAATGATATTAGATGTGAGAAAAGAATAACAGAGGCTTTTCTGTCTTTCAAGAATCTAAGAGAACCAGAGTAGTAATTGGCACAAAATGATATAGGAAAGAGTGGGGAGGGGGTGGCACGTCCATTTATAGTGCTGACCAGCAACACAAGGAATAAATGGGCATGATGTTAGTCCATCAAAAATTCGAAGACATCGACACCAGTTAGTGACACATAGTGATACTCTAGCATGACCCCCATCCAATAATCTTTCTCCATCGAGGAAAAAAGGCGCACCAGTTTATCGCTTAATAACCACAAATCCCAGAGAAATGTTGAGTAAATTAGGCAATTAGCAAGCACCCAAAGTTTAATTTACTTTATGATTATATAGAGTAATTTTTTTTACAATTTTAACGAAATTTAGACAAAATTTCTTTGTATAGAAACTACACTCAGAATTTCATCCCATTTAAAAAAACATACAAAAAAACACAATAACTCAGGTCAACAAATTCTAACTAAATTTAAAATATTAGGAAAGATGGATTTTCAATACAAAAACATCAAATGATGCTTATAAAGTAGGAAAGGTTTGATTTTTTAGTTGTTTTAAAGGAAAAATACAAGTGTTTTGTGGATTTTTATTAAGTTCAAGTCAAAGCATCTTCGGTTTGCATAGAAGTCTAGAGTGTGTTCTTCGATTCAAGAGAGCACTTAAATTTCAATTGATATTGCCGTTTCTGAAATGCGATAAAATCAAACTATGTCATTCTACGGAATCTTTTTCAAATAATACTATTTTAAAATAAAAATAAATGGTGAGTAATACTGTTAAGTAAAAAAAATAAATTAACCATGCTAATTTGAAAGGGAAAAATAAATGGTGAGTAATACTGTTAAGTGCTAAATTTGTAACTCTGCTTCGCATTGGAATTCAAAAGCTGTAGCTACGAGGAAAGATACGGATGGAAAAGTGCACGCAACCCCCACATTCTTAAAACTGAAGCTTTTTAGGCTTCTGAATTTACAGCATATTGCAAAACCCAAGAAGCTGTCGAATAATGATAAATCTACAGTTCAATACAAAAACCCATTTACAACATTCATGCAGATAGCTAAAATATCCAACTAGTTTTCTTTTTTTCCCAAACCAACTAGCTTATCAACTATGAATTACATTCCAGTATTTTAACAATGATTGTTTTCTAAATAAAAATTTTTAAAATAAATTAAATTAATATTTTTTTATTTTTTTAAAATTATTTTTTATATAAATATATTTAAAAAATTAAAAAAATAATTTTTGAAAGGCGCAAGGCATACGTATCACAGCTGTTAGTGTGAAAATAATAGTGATCCTTGATTAAACACATCGAATTATTACCTAATCTTACACAAACAATTAGTGTATTTCCATAGCAATGACAGCATTTGTTTACCGAAAGAAAGCTTACCATATAGGTCTGGTGAAAGACAGGCAGATACTCAAGATCCTCGGACTCTCCCCAAGCCCTAATCAACTGCAAAGCTCGATCACGATTCCCCTGATCCGTTTGCGGATTCTCGATCATCCTAACCATCTCATCCAACACCTTCTCAGACGCCACCTCGGAGAACACCTTCTCACAATTCGAAGTACAGGCCTCCAACAAATCAAGACTCAGCCTTTGGCTCACCAAATTCTTGCCCGAAATCTTCCTCTTTATAGCCTTAACAATCTCCGTACCACTAAACTCTTGGCTATTAATCATCGAACATATCCTCAGATTCAAACCCCAGTTGGGCTCCTCCATTGTCTCTAACGTAGCTTCATCAACCATCTTCGATTCAGGTGTTGGGGTTTGCAGTATTTCTTTCACCTTATCACTTACAAGTCGACTCATCTGAGCCCCACCAGTCTTCAACCGTTCACCCCATTCAGATAATTTCAGCTTGTCCATCTCTTCTTTGTGCTCAAAACTCAAACATCAACAGCTAAAATACAAAACCTTGATTCAATTTATAAGAAACAAAAAATCGGTTAAGCTTTTTCTTTGATTTTCTTGTCTTAAGGACAGCATGGGATTAAACACAGAATTAAGAGGAAAACAACTGGCCAATCTGAGGTCAGATGCTATCGTCAAACCCAGATAATTTCAGTTTGTCCATCTCTTCTTTGTGCTCAAAACACAAACATCAACAGCTAAAATACACAACCTTGATTCAATTTATAAGAAACAAAAAATCGGTTAAGCTTTTTCTTTGATTTTCTTGTCTTAAGGACAGCATGGGATTAAACACAGAATTAAGAGGAAAACAACTGGCCAATCTGAGGTCAGATGCTATCGTCAAACCCTGGTTCTAGTTGAGAGGCGCAGAGAAAAGGAAAGCTCTGGATGAATTGGGTCGTTATAATTTTCAGCTGTTCTTTTGCCGGTGGAGATGAGAGGCCATTCAAGATACACGTGCCCTAGAAAATGACATGTCGTTTTCTAATATGGTTGCCCCGCACAAACGATACATCGTTCGACGGGAATGGCGCGGTACTGGCATCAGGCAAAAGTCATGGCATGAGAACAGGCAAAGAAAGGCGAAAAGGTCGTGGTTTATGACAGAAAGGAACTCAGCATGGTACAGAATGACGCGTCGTTTTGAAGGAAAGGCGGAATCGGTATCGCAAACAACGAGTGTTGTGGGTTTTTCTTATCTGAACCACGCATACTTATGTGCTAATTTGGTACTCTAGTCAAACATGTGTTCATAAAAAATCTAATCACCATGTCTATTGAAATCAATGATAATAATGGATAAATAATGGATAAATCATCTAGAAAGTGGTAAATACTTGGGATCAAACCATCTAAAAAGTGATAAATACTTGGGATCAAGGGATTTGTTCCTTCTGTGGTCTTAGGTTCGAGTCCTTAGTTGTTCATATGATGGCCACT